CTCAAATAAGCAGGTAGGGACATTTACCCCCTTAGAGCACCTCACAGGATTCCACACCTGTTCTAAGTTGCCTTTCCTAAATTAACAATTCAGTAATATCTGGGCCATGCCCAACTGTTATCCCTGGCCCCATCCATATTCTAGGAGTCCCCCATGACTGGTCCATTCCTTTACTCAGAGATTTCTAAGGGTAAACAGTATAACCAGCTCCCCAGTGGGCAACCTGGGAGGCACTGCCCTGGCAGTGTTTCAAGTCCCCAGTCAGGATTCCATAATACCTTCCTGTCCTCTCCTGCTGAACTTGAGTTTGTTTTTCTCTTAGGAAAACCAGTATATTCATATTTAATAGTCACTATTGAACATCTCCTCTGTACCAGGAGCTCTACAAGGCACAGAGGATGCAGTAATGAGTAAGATAGAGGATGACTTGTCCTGAGGAAGCTTATGGGCTACAGAATTATTCACCCAGAAGCCCCCCTCCTGCACCTGTGTTTCTCAGCTCTCTGGTATTTCTGTCGGTCTGGAACAACCTAGAACTTTAGTTCCTACTCAACAGGCATTTTCTAGTACTTAGTCTTCCCTAGGACTAGGACTTAGTCTCATTCTATGTATACCATTTCCCCAGGATTTGGGAGGGAGGAGAAGTAGCAGTGTTAGCTCAGTCCACCTTCTTGAACTAACCACGTTCTTTTGTTTCAAGTAGAAGAGGGATGGCTGTTGAAGTTCAGATATTCTCTATGACCCAGGAGCAAAATAGGTAGTTTCTACACCCAAACAAAGGCTTTGAATACAATTATTCTTATCCTGGCTCTGGCTCTGGCTCTGGAACTAGTGTCTCTTCAGGGATCAATGAGAAAAAAATTCTAGACAGATTCTCATGTCAGAGAGCAAGCCTAGGGGTGAGACTGTGCAGCTCAGTGTCTTGCTTTCTGATTCTGCTGCTTCTGACATTCTTCATGATCATCTTAACAACTCTGAGTTTAAGAATATGACTGAGAAAGGGCCACTTTTGGAGCATAAAAGCAGAAGAACATTTGACCCCTCACAATCTCCTATTTATTCCTGATAACCTCCTACCCACCACCACCCCAAACTATGTTTCTAAAGAAGAAACTTTTGCTGACACTGTACACATTCTGCTTTACTCCCTGATGTTTGAAGACCAACCAGACAGGTGGAGACTTTGGAACCCAAAAGATCTCTTTATGTCTTTCAAGTGCTCCCATAGCTTTGACAGAAAACCTTGTTTTCAAAATTGGTATTTATTTTAGTTGACCTTTGTTGATAAATCCCCTTTCCCCTATGGTTTCTGTAAATTTGTTTTTGTTAGAATCAAACTGAGTGATGGATTGCCTTCTCAGAAATAAGGACAAACACCTCACTAGAAGATTTGTTTAGCTATCCTTAGGCAAACACCAAATTGAATATTTAGCAATTTCTTTTTTGAAGCTGGAAGGAAGGAGAGAGGGTCCAAGGAAGCCAACTCCCAGTTCCAGGAAAGTAGAAGCACTATTCATGTACTTTTCTTTAGATGATTATTGTTTTTAACCAACAGCTGCATGGTCAACTCCTGACAACTCTGTGACCACACGAAGGAGACAATGTTGATCAAACCTCCATTGACCTGTCTGCCCCAAAACAACAGATCTTGTCTTCTGATAATGATTTAATGAAGCCCGAGTTGTCCTTGCAGGGAAGAAGCGAAAAAAGGTTTCAGACAGCACTTTTTTTTTTTTGGCAGCAACAGTATTTCTGTGGCTGTTTTAACACAAAAAGGTTGTGGCTGATACATATGTCAGAGCTTTTTAGAGACGTGTCCTGTTTTATGTATGTTCTGCAGTTCTCAAAAAAAAAATGGAAATTGGCCTTCTCTGGATTCCAAGAAAAAGTATTTTCCTCCTATTCTTTCTGCTTGTCATACATCTAAATCCCAAAATCATCTAGGAAGAGGGAAAGGATGGAAATTGTCAAAAGATTTGGCTTCTTTACTACCAATGTAATATTACACTCCACATATGCAGACATTGGCATATGCAGAAGAGAAAATACTGTTTGTCTTGCTGGATCTCAATTTGGACATTTGATTTAAGTAGAGAAGCCTTGTATAGTAGCCAATATATATTGCATAAAGTTGCCCCTGAGACTAATCCTCAGAAACTGGATAAATAGAACTGTATGCTCTGATCAAATGACTCCTTGGGAGATTATCCCAGGATGATATGCGAACACTGTACCCTACATCAAAGAAGTAGGGGATTTTAAAATATACGCTTATATAATATTTGTATATATCTCCGCATATATATGCATATATGCACATATGTATGTATGTGTGTATATATATATATATACACACAAACACACACACTTGCCTGAACTGTATATAGAGGTTTGACTGTTCCGTTTTTGTATACACACGCACACACATGCACACACATGCCATACCTGAATTTGTATAGAGAGGTTTAACTTTTCAGAACTTTCTTAGATACAACATGAGTATGATGTCTACTTATACCTTTTCCTTCTAACTCTTTATTTTTCTTCTTAATCATTTAAAAAATAAATTTGGCCTCCTTCTGAATTAAGGCTTTTGAACTTTTCAATACCTAAGTATAAATCAACTGGCCAATTTCTGAAGACTGCTTTTGAGGGAAGGGGGAGACATGCACAAATAATGGGAACAAATTTCCAGAGCTTTTGGCTCAATGTTAGCTCAATAACAAGATTACAAATTTAGGAGACAAACAAAATGTCAAACTGGCCTTTCTGGTTATTCCCCTCCATTCTTTTGCACTCAGTCTTTGGAATTAACCTCCACCAGTCACAGGGAAATGTATGATAGAGTAAAAACAGTTACTTCCAAAGTGACAACAATAAGAGATTTAGAATTAATGCACCCTGGGGGCCAAAATATTCAGCTTAATTGAGGATAATTTAATAAACACTGGATATAATTTAATTAGGCATTTGGACACAAGAGAAAAAAATAAAGTTCTCCAATTATGGTGAAGAGATTCACTCTATGTTAATGTTGGAACTAAAATTATGAGGGAAATTTTAAAGACAATAGAAACCCCTATTTAAGTTCAAAAGATTTCTTTAGGGGTTTGTCCCTTATTTTTACACACAGACTTATTCAGTGATCTTAAATGTCTGTTATAGATTTCTACATTTGGCTTCTACTGAAAAGAAACGTCAAACCCTATACTTTCAACATTTAAAACATGAATTATTTTTCAGCCTTAAGAAAGAAGGAAATTCTGCCATTTGTAATCACATGGATGAACCCGGAAGACATTGTACTAAGTGAGATAAGCCAGTCACAGAAGGACAAATGCTGAATTATTCCGCTTATCCAAGATGTCTAAAGTAGTCAAACTCATGGAAGCAGAGAATACAGTACTGGGTGCTCAGGGCTAGGCGGAGGGGGGAAATGGAGAGTTGCTGCATGGGTATAGAGTTTCGGTTATGCTAGATGAGTAAGTTCCAGACATCTGTTGTACAACATATGGCATATAGTTAGCAAGACTATGGTGCACTTCAAAATTTGTTAAGTGTACAGCTTGAATGGGTAGATTTCATGATAAGTGTTCTTACCTATAAAAAAAAAACAAATGAGCAAAAACAACAACCAAAAAACCCAAAAGAACACAAGGAAATTTGAGAGGTATTGTGTTGGACATGACTGTTACCTTGATTGTCGTGATGATATCATGGGTTTGTCCATATGTCCAAACTCATCAAAAGGTACGTATTAAGTATGTGCAGCTCTTTGTATATTATATCTCAATAGAGCCGTTAAAAACTGATACTTGAATAAAAGGAAAAAATGAGTTACTTATGAGGTATGATGTATAAAACTAAATTTCCCTCTGTTTCTTTATTCAGCAGGCATTTATTGAGAGACTATTATATGCCTGGCACTGTGCTAGGCACAGAGGATACAAAGACAAATAAGAAATAGTCTATTCCTGGTCTCAGGGAGCAAGGGAAAGTCAGTCAAGGCCTCATATATGGCTGATGGAATAGAATGGGTGCTCTGGGCAGTGGGGACAGGGACAGAAAGAAAAGAGGATGGGTTTGTTCTGGGAAGGAATCACAGAGGCCTCTTCACAGGGCTTCTCAAAACCTGCACCTGGCTTTCCCCAGAGTGAATGATCTCAGAGAGAGAGATCAGGACAGAAGCCACAGCATCTTTTGTAACTAGTTCAGCAGTTTCATACCATCACTCATGCCTGATTCTGTTGGTCATATAGATCAACCCTATACAGTATGAGAGGAGACTCCAGTAAGATATAAATACCAGGAGTGGGGGCTCACTGGGGGCAGTCTTGGAGATTAGCTACCACGGTTCCCTAGAAAGAGGTGAGCAGAGGACATGGGTCAAAGAAGACAGTAATGCTTTTGATTAACTAAGTCGCTAATAATCCCCGTTACAGGTTTTGATTGAAAGTGAATAAAAGCACATGGCTTAGCCCTTGACATCTAAGCAAAACCTTACTCCTACCTGGATATGAATCTTAGGATCTTAGTACCCTCTAGAAGGATGCATGCATGAAAGATGATAAATGACAGAGAAAATAAAGTGACTGATAACTTGCCTTGTCTTTTTAGTGACTTACATAGAGGAAGTGAAGAGTAAGAGAGAGGGCTGGGTCCACTTGCCCACCCAACTGCATATAATAGAAAAGAAAGAGAAGCGTCCCTAAGGACAGCAACCTTGCTCCTAATTACAGTCGTCCCTTGGTATCTATAGGAGATTGGTTTCAGGACCCCCACAGATACCAAAATCCAAGGATGCTCAAGTCCCTTATGTAAAATGGTATAGTGTTTGGTTATAACCTACCCACATCCTCCTGTATAGTTTAAATCATCTCTAGATTACTTATAATACTAATACAATGTAAATGCTATTTAAATAGTTGCTGTCAAGTGACAAAGTCAAGTTTTGCTTTTTGGAACTTTGTGGAATTTTTTCTTTTTCTGAATATTTTCAGTCTACAACTGGTTGAATCCACAGATGCAGACCCCACAGATACAGACGGACAACTGTACTATGTTCTACCTCTAGTCCCAGACTCTGATGAATCAGAACAGCAACTCCCCTTCCCTTGCGTTGGCAGCAGGGAGGCTGGGAAGAAGCAAGATGGCAGGGAGGAAGGAGCTGAGAATTCCTCTTTTCTGTGCTGAAGTTACTGTCATCCCTGTTTTTCATATGAGGAAACCGAGATGTGGAAAGATTAACTGAAGTTCAGTGAGGCCTAGTTTCAAAAAGCCGCGAATGAAAATCCCAGCTTCTAAATTCAGCCATAGTCACCTGGTCAAAGATACCATCATTGCTGCTGAACTTGTGATGGCCCACCCCCACCTCCATTCTTTTTGGCATTTCTTTTGGGTTATACACTAAAATAACTAAAGATACACATTCAAGAAATAGAAACATGAGAGGCGACTTGGAATCATTTACTGCTACCTGTTCTTTGCAGAGATAATGAGACTGTCATCTCAAGAGTGAGTGGTTGGGAATGGAACCCAGGTCTTTTGTACCCTAGTCTGGTGCTTTTCCCTCTGTGGTCCTGTGAAGGGGTTCCTGAGATATGCTCCCTCTGACTTATTTGGAATCTTCCTCCTCCCCAGTGGTTTGAGAGGCAGGAGAATGTGGTAGAAAGGGTACAGGTCTGAGTACTGGAAGTCCCAGGTGATGTCCCGGCTCCAGCTTGTGTAAGCTTGTAATCCGGGCATACTCTCCTTGGCTTCTTCTTCTGGAAAATTGATATAATAATATTTGCCAACCTCTCAGGACAGTTGTAAGAATGAAAAGAGATACTAACTGTGAAAAATCTCTGTAGGTTCCAGGTGGTGGGCAATGGTAAGTAATCAGTTTTGGGAAATCTCACTCTATAGGGTGTCCAACTGCTGAGCTAAGACGGTCATGCCTCCAGCTTCTTATATTTGGCTTCCTGTAGAATTTTTTGACTCTCCACCTTTGCACATTGCACCCCCCTCCCCCCGTTCGTATGATTTTACTTCCATTGGTGGTGGTCCAGCTGATTTCTGGACCCAGAGTCCATAGAAGTCAGTGACTCAGTTTTCTATGTGGGAAGAGGTTTTTCTCCTCCCCAAGGCCCCAAGAATGAGCAGAGCGCGTGAGTACTACTTTGGAGGGAAAAAGGCAAACAATCCTATCATTTAATAAGAGTCTTAAAAGTTTTAGCAGCTTGGGTGAGTATGGACACTGAGACTGGCCGGCACCTGCTTCTGCTAACACTGAAGATTTGTTATCCTAGAAAATCATTTCAATCTGCAGAGATTCCATAGAGACCATTACATGGTCATGGATGTAATTAATAGCAGAGCTGTTTGGGAAGGGCACCAACATTCATACAGTGCCTCCCACGCTCAAGGCAGAGAGGAAGGTGTGAGGTTTGTGTCCCTCTTGCTTTGTTTGCAGAGGAAGAAGCTGATGTTCAGAGAGGTTAGGTAGTTGGTCCAAGGTCACAAGCTTGTAAAAGATGGAGTTAAGACTTAAATCCAGGTCTTTGCACTTTCTGTAGTTTGACACCAGGGAGGGTCTCATACATTTTGAATCTATAATTTATGTTTGAAAATGAAAGAAAATATGTGGGGAAATACAATAATTAAAATAGCTTAACCAGTTGCCCATAGTTTGAAAACTTTGGGAAACAGGGAAATTAAAGTGTTGATTAAACATGGAAAATAAAAGCCCCACACTTCTCCTGCCTCCTGACCCAGGCGTGTACACACTTTTCATAACAGCTCTGTTTCAGGTATTGTCATCAGGAGGAGATTTCAATCCCAGGACCATTCACAAGTGGAGGGTCCCAAAGGTCACAGCAAAATACAGAGGATTGAAAACTAGGATTTGAAGCCATGGAGAAATTAAGGGAAATTCATGAAGTTCTTAAATACATAGAAGAAGATTTTGTTTCACAACTTCTATAAACAAACACTAAAATAATGTGGACTTCTAGGAAATAGAGAAGTTAGCAAATTGCCAAGGTGTTAAGAATCAGTTCTTGGTATTGTTACAGCACAGTCTGACTTGCATATCTGTCTGAAATGTTCTCCTTAGCAAACATACCCTTTCTCACTAGTGATTCTTAATATTTCCTTAATATTTCTGCTAAAAGGCACCTCATACTTTTGGCAGTCTGATTGCTTTAGTCAGAAAGATAAAATTTATTAGCACATGGTAGATGTCTGGCTATGACCTGTACAGAGCATCCAAATGTAAACAGAATATATGCTAACTTTTGTGAAGTTTGCAGCCTGATGGTAAAAGCAGTTAAGTCTACTAGGAATTGTAACATGCGCATTATGGTAAGAGCTAAAATGAAGGTGGGACAAGGTGCTTGTGGAAATGAGTAGAGCAGTATCTGCTTCAGTCTTGGAAAGTCATTGAAAGCTTCCTAGAAAAAGTGCCATCTAGGCCGAGACCCAAAGGATGAGTGGGAGTTGATGGGAGTGGGTAAGTCAGGGGTCTTCAGAGAAAGAGAACCAATAGGATATATAGAGAGATACACAGAAGAGATTTAGTATAGGAACTGGATCAGACAGTCATGGAAGCCAGAAGTCCTACGATCTATGGTCAACAAGCTGGAGAACCAGGAAAACCAGTGGTGTAATTCAGTCTGAGTCCAAAGGCCTGAGACCAGGCAGGGGAGCCAGTTTGAAGATAGATGTCCCTGCTCAAGCAGACAGCAGATTCACCCCCTCCCCTTTTTTTCCTATTCAGACCATCTACAGATCAGAACCTGCATTGGTGAGGGAGATCTCCTTTACTCAGGCTACTGTTTCAAATGATAATCTCTTCCAGAAACACTCTCACAGACACACCCAGAAATAGTGTTTTACCAGTTATTCCTTAGCCCAGTCAAGTTGACACACAAAATTAACCATCACGGGGGGTGTGTTCTCAGCAGATGGAGGAACATGTGCAAAGGGGTAGAATGAGAGAACAGAATGTTTAGAGAACTGAACAAGATGCAGTTTGGCTAGAGAATTGAGAGTAGAGATGCCTGGAGAGATGGTTAGGGACTAACTTTGCATGTGTGTATTAAAGATTTAGGACTTTATCCTAAAAAATATTGGAAACCATCAAAGGGGTTTAAGCATGAGGATCAGATGATCATACATGTGTTCTAGAAAGACCATCATTCTGTATGTCTATGTTTCAGAAAGTTCTGTTTGGTGATTTGGAGTCTGAGACTCAGGGCAGGGGACAAGACCAGAAGCAGGATAACCAATAGGTGGCAATTGTAGTCATCCAGGCCAGAGATGGGGGTAGGTCTAGTCCAGCTCATACCGTTAGAGCTGGAGAGAAGTAGAGAGATTCAAGACCTTCTTAAGACTGGATTGAATCAACAGAACCTTGACGTTGATAAAATGTGAGGGATGAGGTAGGGAAGCAGTCAAGAATGGCAGCCAGGTATCTGGAATGTGTGGATGGGGATGCCATCTTCTGAACTAAAACACTGCTGAAGGAGCCAGTTTCAGAGAGATGCCAGTGAGCCCCATTTTAGGAATTGCTGGGGAATGTGGGAGGAATCCACATGAAGCTGTTCAATACAGAGTAAGAACCATGGGCTGGAATCTCAGGAGAGAAATCTGAATGGGTTATGGATTTGGGAATGTTTGGTAAGTAGATGGCCCTTGAAGCCAAGTCTGGAATCACATTGTCAAGGCCAACTCCAGCATGCTGTCTTCAAAGAGGGTCTGGAAGCTCCCGCTTTTTCTTCATTTATTAAAGAACATATACATGTAATTAAAACATTTTTTGTTTTAATAGATACCCATTCTCATGTCACTTTGTGCTTTTTAAAGTGGTCTCCCAAGTGGTGTACCTAGGACTACTGAGTGAGGTATGTAGGGAGAAGCAATGCACATTTTATACATATTGAAGGTCATCAGGTGCCAAGCAGTGACAGAGCTCTGCTCTGGTTCCTCCCTGAGCTTTTCCCACCACCCTATACAGCCTTTGAAGCCACCCATCCTGACACTCCATAAAGAATATCCTCAATTCACAGACAGCCATGATAGGACTGAAATTCATGACAACCCACAAAGACTTCATCCAAGAGAAGCAAAGGAGAACCTCTCTACCAGGTTTGGTGGCTTTTAGCTTCTGGTGCCTTCTCCCCATCACCCTTGTCCTCACTGCAGTGTGTCCCACCCTGTGTTGGCCTCAGCACAGCTTCAAACTGCCTCTTTCTGCCCTCAGCAGGTCTGTGAGAAAGGTCCATGGCTCTGTGGCTCTGAAGTCTGGACACTTGGCCATTCACCAGTTGTAAGAGGTGCTCAGTCAGCACCCAAGTGCTCAAAGGAGGAACCAGAGTGTTGCAGTAACGTGGAGAAATATCTGATAAGCTGGAAATAGGAGAAGGAGGAAGTCTTCGTGCAGATCTAGGAAATCGTAGTATATGGAGAAGAGATAAAAAGATCACGTGGGCTTGGGGCTTTCTTCCATTTTTGCTTCTGAAAAGTGGAATTCTTTTTCCCCAAAGAATTCTTGAACAGGACTCCAATATATGAAATAGTTTTTGTTTTTGTTTTTTTAAAGGAACTGCTCCTCTTGCAGAAGCAGGGGCCCTGGGGGCTGCAGCAGCCTCCTGATGGGGGCAGAGGGCACACCACCCCATAATACTCACTCAAGCCCTTTGCCTGGGGCCTTTGAAAACTAGTTATTTAGTTCATGTCCCCAGGAGAGTGGAAGGTATGAAAGTATGAGAGCTGGAGCTTTAGAGTCAAACTCCCCTGGTTTGAATCTGGCCAAGCTGCTTATCAGCTGTGTGATCTGGGACAAGTTCTTTAAGTGTTCTGAGCCTCAGGTTCGTCAGCTAAATTAGGGGTAGTAAGAACAGAATTACTGTGATGGTTAAAAGAAAAAAAAATCTAAACTACTGAACACTGTGCTCAACATTTAGTATATTCTCCATAATGGGAATTATTGTTGTTGTTGTTGTCAGTTGCCAAACATTTGGATTTTTGAAATTTCGGCTTTTTACAGTAGGCTAGAAACTTGGATTTTTTTGGTGAGAATCTCCCAATTTTTAAATGCTGGCAAGTAACTAATTGAAAAAAATAAATGAACATTTAAATAAAATAAAATAAAATAAAAGATTATAAACCAAAAAAAAATCAGCTATACTTCAATAAAAAATTAAAAACTAAAAAAAAAAAAGGAAAAACAAACAAACAAACAATTTTAAGCTACATAAGAGGACCTCCAGCAGTTTGGGACCTCTGGAATAAATAGTTAATGCATGATTATACATGGTCTGTGCTGTGTATGATTAAATGTGTGTGTAGATCCGTGAATGGAGGAGACTGAATTGTCTTGGAGAGGGAGGGGCAGGAGGCTGAGTGGTTTGGAGGAAGGAAGAGGCCCAGAGCTGTGCCTGCGTCATGGGCTAGGGTCGTGGGTTACTATAGTTGGTAGAGATTGGACCCTGCCATCCTGCTATGGGGTATGTTTCTGGGGTGGGGGGCCATTTTCTCCCCTGACCTGTGATGATGACACCTATATTTCAATTAAAAAATATATAAAATTTTAAAAATAAAATGCAGGTAGTCTAACTTTAGAACCTACCTCCTTAGCAACTATACTCTAAAGATATTATTCTTTTTGATGTAATTGTAAACAGGACTGCTTTCTTAATTTCTCTTTCTAATGGTCCATCATTAATGTATATAAATGCAACAGATTTCTATATATTAATTTTTATCCTGCAACTTTTATTTATTAGTTCTAATAGTTTTTTGTTAGAGTCTTCTATGTAAGACTCTGTATGGTTTTCTATATAAAGTATCATGTCATCTGCAAACAGTAACAGTTTTACTTAATTTAGATATCTTTTTTTTTCTCTAATTTATATGGCTAGGACTTCCAATACTAGTTTGAATAAAAGTGGTGAGAATGGGCATCCTTGTCTTGTTCCTCATCTTAAAGGAAATCCTTTTTTAGCTTTTTACCACTGAGTATAATATTGGCTGTATATTGTCATATATGGTCTTTATTATGGTAAAATATGTTCCTTCCATACATACTTTGTTGAGAGTTTTTATCAAAAGCTTTTTATGCATCTATTGAGGTGATTATATAATTTTTATCAGTGTGGTATATCACAATGATTGA